GTGCGTCTGAAGAGGATGGTGGTCTAGGCGATCTTTAAAGATCCCTTCCAGTGCTTGACCCACTACTCTCTGAACTAAAGGAACAGAACCACAGTCACAACAGATCTGAAATCAACGTAAACACACTTCAGCCAAGAATATGCCTACTACCCCACAAAACTCAACCCCTTGAAGGCAACCAGTTCCAAAGCACCTTCCCAGTCAACCGACTTGAGAACTGCCAACACAATCACATCCCCATCCTCTGACTGGAGGTATGGCACCACCAACCACAATCAAGAGATACCGCAATGACCTCCGGGTAGTGCCACCCTGTTGGCAGTATAGGACTGCCCCCTTCTCCATGACCGCACCACACAACTGGTCCCCACTATAGTTCACCACCCCAGCCGCCTAACCAGCACACACTTCCAGGCCAATATCACCCTCATATGAAATAACTGCTGCCAGTAACTCTTGATGTTTAAAAAATTCTTTATTTTACTGCACTGGCATGGCCCTCCAGGACAATGTTAAATCACAGCAGTGACAGCGGCATTGTTTTCTTGTTCTTGACCTTAGTGAAGCAACCTCTGCTGTTTCACTGTAAGTTTAGGGTTTTGTTTTCTCAAATATACTTTTCATCAAAACCCTGTACGAGAGTTTCATTATACACTTGAGTTTTTATTAGTAATGCCTGTTCACATTTATCAAATGCTTTTTCAGCATCTATTGAGATGATTATATGGTGTGCTTCTTTATTGAGGTAATGAATTATGTTGTTAGATTTCATAAGGGTGAACCAACCTCTCATTCCTGTCATTCCTAGAATAAACTAGACCTTGTCATGGTGTATTACTATTTTACTATTTGCTGTTTGTTTTACTATTCTCTTACTATTGGCCTTCATTAGCTGATGATCTCTTTTTAAGACTGTTGTAGCTAAGTGGAACAAGTTTATAATTTTATCTTCTTAATTACAGCTAACATGTTGCAAGCAGTTCACCTGGACTACCCCAAGGGCACAACAATCCTGTAAGACAACTACCCTTATCATTCCCACATTATAGATACAGAAGCTGAGGCTTAGAGAGGCCCAATTACATACCCAAAGCCACACAGGTGGGACATGTGGATCTGGGACTGGAACTCACTACCTTAGACCCCCATTCCGTCTCAACAGCCCTGCCTTTGCCAGCTGCTGGTATCAGCATTCCCAGTAAAATAACTTGGGAAGCTTCTATTTTTTTCTATACTTTTAAGCAGTTTGAACGATTTAGGAATTACTTGTTCCTTGAAGGTTTAATACATTCTCCCTTTGCAAGGAGAGGGTTCAGATCTTTTGACAACCTTTTCCACGTATGTATGGTTTTCACCTCTTCTGGTGTTCTGTTTATCCTAGAAAATAATTTATTTCATCGATATGTCCAAATTTGCTTGCATAAAACTACAACTAGTATTTTATGTTTTCAATCTTCTCTGTATTTGTGGCTGCATGCCTTTTCCACTCCTAATGCTGTACATTTGTGTTCTCTCTTGTTTTTCTTGATTAGAATTGTCTCTGGTTTCTTTATTGGTCTTTTCAAAGCTTTATGTCTTATTTGCTAAATTGACATGTAATTTCTAAAACTATAGTGTACTTGTCAAAAAAGCCAAACACAGAAATATGACAGACTGGGTTGAAAGCCCACTTCCTAGCTGTGTGACCTTGGACAAATTGCTTAGTGCCTCTGAACCTCAGTTTTCTCCCCTGGAAAATAGAACTATCATTGATTGAACATTTATATGCCAGGCATTGTATTAAGCATTTTAACTATAAGCTACTTATTTATTTTGTGTTTTAAAATAGTGTATATAAGGTATCGGTTTAATGACTGAGACAGGGTAGATCCTCCAGAAGTGTGTTGACTGCTATTGTTGTCATTATAATTTTCCAGGTTAAACTTCCCATTAGCTTATGAGGAGGGAGCCCTCCACCCTCATCCTCTTGCCTACTCATCCCTTTCCAGTGGGATACCATGATTTATAATAATATATACTTGTTCCTGTTCCTGGCATAAAGCCCCTAATACCCTTACAATTTTGTAAGTGATAGGGTGTTAAAGGTGTCTTTTGTTATTTATAATCCCCTTTCAACCACACCTGTGTTTGTGTTAATGAGGTGACTTCTGGAAAGCCCCTAAAGTTGGGGGCTAATTGCCAGGAGAATCAACCTTGGGTTTTTCAGTTCCATCCTCCAACCTCTGGGGAGGGGAGAGGGACAGGAGGTTGAAATAATCCCCAGTGGCCAATGATTTAATCAGTCAGGCCTAGTAATTAAACCTCCATAAAAATCCCCAAAGTAGGAGTTCAGACCTTCCAGACTGGTGAACACATGGAGGTGCTGGCGGGGATGACCCCCTTTCTCACACACCTTGCTGTGCATCTCTTCCACCTGGCAGTTCCTAGGTTGCATCCTTTCATAATAAACCAGTAATCTAGTGAGTAAACTGTTTTCCTGAGTTTCTGTGAGCCATTCTAGCAAATGATTGAGAGGGGAGTTATAGAAACCTCTGCTTTATAGTTGGTTGGTCAGAAGCACAGATGACAACCTGGACTTGTGAACTGGTGTTTGAAGGGGGCAGGGGTTGGGGGGGGCAGTCTCGAAGATCTGAGCCCTTAACCTGTGGGTTCTGAATTAAATTATAGGACACCTAGCTGGTGCCGAGGAATTGCTTGGTGTGGGAACAACCCCCATACACTGGGTAGCCAGAGTACAGAGGGAGAGTGTTGAGGGCAGAAATCAGAGTATTCTGTGAGTAGACAAAAAAATGAGTTTTTTCTCTATAATGACAGAATATCTCCAAATCCTTGGGAGATGGGACCAGAAAAGAACTCTGTGGACAAATTCCTGGCATTCCCAGGCTATGAGAGAGTAAGTTAAAACTTGTTGGGAGAGACAAAATATCTTCACCAAACCGAGTCAAGCATGAGAAAAGAGGATATTCACGTCATGTCTGAGAAAGCAAGACTAGGAGGGCAGAGGCATGACTGATAACCCAATGTGCAAATGGAGATGATGCTAACTGGTGATTAAAGGAGAGCCTACTCAATGGTCCCTCCTGCCTCCAAAACTGCCCCTCCCATCCATCCACAGAGGTGCTCTTGCTAAAACACAAAGTTAGCCACATCATCCCAGGCTTAAAACTCGTCAGTGGTTCCCACTGTCCTCTGAATGTGCCCACACTGAACCATTTATCCTACAAACACCAACAGACTCTCACCTTCCCTCCACTTCATTTCCCTTGGTCTTGTCCTTCCTCTACCTAGACTAAACCTGCCCCTCCTTTGTCTGCCAAACTCCTGCTTATCTCAAGGTTTCAGCTTAGATGTCACTTCCTGCAAGAAACTTTCCCAGGTTCACGCGGACTCAGTCAGTTTCCAGAAGGCCAGTCCTCACCTCTACCCCTAGTCTGTAAGCTCATGAGAACAGGGTTCCTATCTGCTCACCATTGTCTGGCACACTGTAGTTGCTCAAGGAGTGCATGCTGAAAGGAGGAATCAGTACATCGATAATTCCTACAACACTGTGGTGCCCTTTTTCTTTTATCTGTGTGTCTCCTCAACTAGACCATAGCATTCTGGGAGGTAGGAAGGTCTCATTCAACGTCATGCGCTTGGTGCCCAGGGCTGCGGTGCTGGTCTGATCCCAGCACCCAGCATACTGACCCAAAAGTCCCAGCATCAGACTCCCTGTCCAAACATGTGGTGCTGAATGTTTGGATGAATGGATAAGTGGTTGGGGGGCGAATGGTTGATGAAGGAATAAATGGCTGACTAAATAAATGGATGGATAGATGGATGGATGGATGGATGGATGGATGGATGGATGGATGGATGGATGGATGGATTGGACAGATGGGTGGATGAATTGGTAAACTGGTAAATTGGATGGATGTTGTACCCTGGCCACTAAACTGGTAATATAGTGTACTTGTCAAAAAAGCCAAACACAGAAATATGACAGACTGGGTTGAAAGCCCACTTCCTAGCTGTGTGACCTTGGACAAATTGCTTAGTGCCTCTGAACCTCAGTTTTCTCCCCTGGAAAATAGAACTACCATTGATTGAACATTTATATGCCAGGCATTGTATTAAGCATTTTAACTATAAGCTACTTATTTATTTTGTGTTTTAAAATAGTGTATATAAGGTATCGGTTTAATGACTGAGACAGGGTAGATCCTCCAGAAGTGTGTTGACTGCTATTGTTGTCATTATAATTTTCCAGGTTAAACTTCCCATTAGCTTATGAGGAGGGAGCCCTCCACCCTCATCCTCTTGCCTACTCATCCCTTTCCAGTGGGATACCATGATTTATAATAATATATACTTGTTCCTGTTCCTGGCATAAAGCCCCTAATACCCTTACAATTTTGTAAGTGATAGGGTGTTAAAGGTGTCTTTTGTTATTTATAATCCCCTTTCAACCACACCTGTGTTTGTGTTAATGAGGTGACTTCTGGAAAGCCCCTAAAGTTGGGGGCTAATTGCCAGGAGAATCAACCTTGGGTTTTTCAGTTCCATCCTCCAACCTCTGGGGAGGGGAGAGGGACAGGAGGTTGAAATAATCCCCAGTGGCCAATGATTTAATCAGTCAGGCCTAGTAATTAAACCTCCATAAAAATCCCCAAAGTAGGAGTTCAGACCTTCCAGACTGGTGAACACATGGAGGTGCTGGCGGGGATGACCCCCTTTCTCACACACCTTGCTGTGCATCTCTTCCACCTGGCAGTTCCTAGGTTGCATCCTTTCATAATAAACCAGTAATCTAGTGAGTAAACTGTTTTCCTGAGTTTCTGTGAGCCATTCTAGCAAATGATTGAGAGGGGAGTTATAGAAACCTCTGCTTTATAGTTGGTTGGTCAGAAGCACAGATGACAACCTGGACTTGTGAACTGGTGTTTGAAGGGGGCAGGGGTTGGGGGGGGCAGTCTCGAAGATCTGAGCCCTTAACCTGTGGGTTCTGAATTAAATTATAGGACACCTAGCTGGTGCCGAGGAATTGCTTGGTGTGGGAACAACCCCCATACACTGGGTAGCCAGAGTACAGAGGGAGAGTGTTGAGGGCAGAAATCAGAGTATTCTGTGAGTAGACAAAAAAATGAGTTTTTTCTCTATAATGACAGAATATCTCCAAATCCTTGGGAGATGGGACCAGAAAAGAACTCTGTGGACAAATTCCTGGCATTCCCAGGCTATGAGAGAGTAAGTTAAAACTTGTTGGGAGAGACAAAATATCTTCACCAAACCGAGTCAAGCATGAGAAAAGAGGATATTCACGTCATGTCTGAGAAAGCAAGACTAGGAGGGCAGAGGCATGACTGATAACCCAATGTGCAAATGGAGATGATGCTAACTGGTGATTAAAGGAGAGCCTACTCAATGGTCCCTCCTGCCTCCAAAACTGCCCCTCCCATCCATCCACAGAGGTGCTCTTGCTAAAACACAAAGTTAGCCACATCATCCCAGGCTTAAAACTCGTCAGTGGTTCCCACTGTCCTCTGAATGTGCCCACACTGAACCATTTATCCTACAAACACCAACAGACTCTCACCTTCCCTCCACTTCATTTCCCTTGGTCTTGTCCTTCCTCTACCTAGACTAAACCTGCCCCTCCTTTGTCTGCCAAACTCCTGCTTATCTCAAGGTTTCAGCTTAGATGTCACTTCCTGCAAGAAACTTTCCCAGGTTCACGCGGACTCAGTCAGTTTCCAGAAGGCCAGTCCTCACCTCTACCCCTAGTCTGTAAGCTCATGAGAACAGGGTTCCTATCTGCTCACCATTGTCTGGCACACTGTAGTTGCTCAAGGAGTGCATGCTGAAAGGAGGAATCAGTACATCGATAATTCCTACAACACTGTGGTGCCCTTTTTCTTTTATCTGTGTGTCTCCTCAACTAGACCATAGCATTCTGGGAGGTAGGAAGGTCTCATTCAACGTCATGCGCTTGGTGCCCAGGGCTGCGGTGCTGGTCTGATCCCAGCACCCAGCATACTGACCCAAAAGTCCCAGCATCAGACTCCCTGTCCAAACATGTGGTGCTGAATGTTTGGATGAATGGATAAGTGGTTGGGGGGCGAATGGTTGATGAAGGAATAAATGGCTGACTAAATAAATGGATGGATAGATGGATGGATGGATGGATGGATGGATGGATGGATGGATGGATGGATGGATGGATTGGACAGATGGGTGGATGAATTGGTAAACTGGTAAATTGGATGGATGTTGTACCCTGGCCACTAAACTGGTATTTGCGTCAGTGTATGTTTTTCAGAGTCAGCTATCATTTCCTGAAGAAACAGAACAAAAGCCAACAGGCAGTGATCATAAATGCCAGCAGTCAGTCCCCAAGCCCCCCCAAGACAGCAACCACCACCTCCACTGCCCAGGCCCTGCAAGCCCCACACCCACTCGGCCCCACCCACTACACGCACCTGATCCTTAGGCTCTTGGCTGACCAACCAAAAGAGGAGAAGGTTGTTACAGGTGGTATTCACTTCTGGGAGAGTATCCAGGTAACTCTTCAAGGTGGTGGTCCCCTTGGTCTGGGGTGGCGGCTGCCTCATGGATGATGGGGCATTGGGCATCCAGGACCCAAAGTCGTGCTGCAGAGACCCCCCACCCCAGCTGAGTCTGCTGGCCAGAGTGGGAGGACCAGCTCCTTCATCATTATCTCTGATCCTGCCCCTACCAGCCCAGGTGTTGCACTTGCACTTGGGAAATGAGGGGATGGTGGAAAGGGAAGAGAGGGTGGGATATAGGATAGAAAGTTCCAGAAGTGGGGCAGGAGCCTGGCTCATCCCTTAACACTCTCCACCAATGTTCCTGGACTGGATGGAGTGAATCACCAAGGAAGCAGGGGCACTCAGAGAGGAGGTAACCCTCGCAAAGGGCTTGGGCTGGCATGCCACACAGAGCAACCTGATACTCCACCTAGCCACGTCTCACCCATGACAAGGTCCATAAATTCTACTCCCTACACAACACCAATTCGAGTCACCATTACAATCTTGGACCCAGCTCCACCCCAGTCATCATCCAACTCCAGCTCTGACCAAAAACCCACCCCAACCCTGACCCACCCATGCTTGCAACCCTAACTCTGGCCTCACGTCCACTGCTGAGCCTAACCTTGCATGGCCCAGTGTCCCCCAGGCCTGCCCTCTACGGCCGCACCTGCCCACTGTTGACAGCGGCATGCTGTGCCGAGCAGTTGAAGATGACTGCAGTGAGGAACTTCACCAGCTCTCCTGGGGTGCACAGCCGGCGTGGGAAGCCTGGGTGTGGGAGGAAGGAAAGAGGGTGTGGATGGAGGTGACTGGACTCCTAGGGGCAGCTCAGGGCTGGGGCTCACCACAGGGGGAGGGGAGGGGGAGAACTGAACATTAGGCTACCACTGTCTTTTGACTAAGGGTTGGGCTGAGGTTAGAGTGATTTACCACCAAGGTTTATGGTCTCTGAAGGGGGTCAGGACAGGATGCTGGGTCCTGGGATCAGACCAGAAAATGCCCACCCAACAGAGCTCACCATGGAGAAGCCAGGTTCAAGTGAACAGCCAAGCTGTCTCTGCTCCCCGACTGCCAAGTCACTTCTGTCTGCAGCCCACATTAGCACTTATTGGTTGAGTTCTACAAAGTTCCCCAAGACTTGTCCAAGCACCCAGGAGTAGATCACCCACTGCTGGGCTTAGCAGCAGAAAAGATGAGCAGAGTGTGTTACTCATCAATTCATAATAATGGAAGCAGAGGGAAGCTCTGAGGCCAGGGCCTGATTCTTTGAGGAGAGGGCAGACCGGGCAGAAGTGGGCCCTGGGGCTGGCGTGGTTAGGGACTTCCCTGGAGGAAGAGAAGGGGCCTCTGCGTGAAGAACACGTGAGCTTTGAGTAGAAAAAGATGACAGAGGGAGGCATTTTCAGGCCCTCACTCCTTGTCTCCCTGTACATCACTGGTCTCATCCAAGTTGATGGCTTTATCCACTTCCCACTGGCTGACGGCTTCCAGATTCACAGCTCCAGCCCTGCACAGCCCCTGAACTCTAGACTCAGCACTGGGCACAGATCAGCAGCTACTGCCTGACATCTCCAACCTGAAGGTCCACCAGCCCTCTCACCTGGAACATCTGCAAACCCTGATGCTTGACATATCCCTCCCACCCCGCAACAGGCTCCCACACCATCCCTCCTCTCTCAGTGGTCCCATTTCTGTCCTCTTTCTCCAATTGCTCAGGTGGAAACCCGTGCACTCACTGCTCTTGTTTCCTCATACCACACATGTTGGCAAACACTTCCAGAAGCCAAGCTCATCCCATCACCTCCAGTCTCTACCATCTCCTCCTGGATAAATCTCACTGCTTCCACCCTTGCCACTGACAGCCTGCTCTTCACATGACAGAGTGAGTGACCCTTTAGAAGCATAATCTGATTATGTCACCCTTGCTAGAACCAGCTAGGGACTCCCACCTCCCACATCTTCCCATGGCCCTACTTGATCTGGCTCTTGCTCCTTCTCTGGCTTCATTTCCTTCCCTACGTTTCCACCCGACCTTACTCTACTCGGCCACACAGGCCTTCCCCAAAGCCCACAGACTTAGCAGTATGCCCCCACCCCCAGGCCTTTGCACTTACTATACACCTGCCTATATGCTCGTTCCTCAGTTATTCACAGAACTAGTTCCCTCACTTCCTTCAGGTCTCCATGCAAATATCACCTCCCCTGAGGGCAGTCAGGGCCTTCCCTGACCACCTATCTGAAAGAATCCCCCTACCTTGACATGCTATATCCCCTCATGCTATTTTGTTTTTCTTAGCATTCATAACCACCCAACATATTTATCATCTGACTCTTCCCGCAAGAACATTAAGCTCCATGAAGGCCAGGATTTTTGTCTGTCATGTTCACTGCTTAGCCCCAGCACCTAGAACAATACTTAAAGTTAAGCACTCAGTAATTACTAGTTGAATGAAGTGAATGCATAAGAAGGTCAGAAGTCACATTGGGAAGGAATGGGGCATAAGCAAGGCGAAGAGACAGGGAGGGTACTTGTTGGAGGTGAGACAGCAGCAGTGTGCCAGGATTACTGGGGTGGTGGCCCTGCAGGCTTGGCCAGCAAACAACAAAAGGCTGGGAAAGGTGGGACTGGTTGAGAAGCAGCTGCCACGGTGCAGGAGTAAGTAGTGTGAGGACTGGAACTAGGGCAGCAACAGCGGGAAACGATGGAAACAATAGGCATGAGCCACCCAACTGGATTGACAGAGAGAGGAAGGCCAAGGGGAAGGTGAGTCAAAGATGGCTCCAAGGCGTGGAGTCGGGTTGGCTGGAGAGAGGCTGGGGCAGCAGGACAGAGAGGTTTCGAGGAAGAGCCAGGTACCTGCCTGGGTGTGTGGGAATTTCCTGAATATTCTGTTCGTGGTTGATATTCTGGCCTTAGGGCTGAGAATAAAAAAGTAAGGAAGTCAGGCCATCTTTGGGAATTTTTCTGAATCTCGTATTGTTTTTTTCTTTCCCCTTGAAATAGGAGAGCAAAAGTCATACTGACTGAGGTTAATGAGCATGTTTTGCCTTAAAATGTATGACTCTAGAATAAGTTTATACTGTCAGAAGAGGTTCTTCAGTCTGAAGGTTGTTCTGATGTATTAAATCAGAGACAAGTTTAATAAAGTAAGGGAGAAGATTTGAGCCAATAGTAATTAGTCTCCCTGTGGCTCTTCAATAGGGAACAGCCCCAAAGACAAAAGTAACTGCCTTCAGCAGGGGGTGAGGAGTCAGGGGCAGAACTGCTCTTGTTGAATCTGGTTGAATCTTGTTAACAGCAATTGTTGAATCTGTGCAGTGTGTAAATGTGTGTTAACCATTATTCATTACACTCTCTCCTAATTAAAGGTAGGCTTACAAAGCCTGGGGAGGGGTCACCTTTTCAAAGATCCCAAGGAGATGGGCTGTTATCACCTTAACCTAGAAATCAACGTTAGCATCATTAACAGTGAGACAACCTGACATTATGTGCCTCCCAATATGATGCAATGTAGAGAGCACAGCTTCATTTGAGAAATATCCTTGCCAAAAACATTTAACCTTTAGATATTACTTCTGGTTGACAAAAAACACAGGAAATAGAGGAACAAGATAAATGACATCATAGGATGCAATTAGATAAATTCGAAGGTGAGGCATTCTGCAGAACAACTAGTCCTGGGGTTTCAGTAAGTCCATGTCAGATTCATGTAATTTAAAAGAGGGGGTGGGGGCTGTCCTGAATTAAGAGAGACTTTAGAGTCAAAATAAACAACCATATCATGTGGTCCTTGATTGGCTCAGGCATCAACAGGATCAACTGGGGGAAAATGAGACACATGAGGAAATTTGAATATTGACTAGATAAGAGGATGATATTGGAATTATTGTCAACTTTGTTAATCATGATAACAGTAATATGGTTCGGAAAAACATTGTTCTTTTGAGTTGCATATTGAGTAGGAGTAAAATGAAATACAGTACTTTAAGAGACTTCAGCAATAAACAAAAGCAACAGATTAATCAAATATGGCAAAGATGTTAGCAATTGTTGAATCTGGGCAGTGGGTAAATGGATGTTAACCATTATTCATTACACTCTCTACTTTTAAGTATGTTTAAAATATACATTACATTATAGTCTCTACTTTTGTATGTGTTTCAAATATTCTGGGTTGCTGTTTTTTTAAAGACTGGGAACCCATTGCAGGTAGGGCTGCAACAACTGTTCATTCTGTTTGCGGGTGACCTGAGATCACCCCTCCTCCCAGGGTCTCTCCAGACAGAAACTCCTCTGGGAGGCCACCAGAAGCACTAAGCTAGCTGAAAGCCACATCCCTTCTGGGAGAGGATGTCCCAGGCAGTGAGTCTTCCACCCTCGGGCCAGGCCAGGGCTGGGGGGATTGAAGGATAGACATTAATGCCACTTGGAGCTTTTCCTTTTCCCCCACTATACAAGATATTGAGGCCTCTCCTGCCTTTTCCACTGCCTGGAGTACCAACCACATACTATAGTGGCACTAGGGAAGTAGGCTGTGAAGAGTTGCAAAAGGTGTATAACCTGGTGAAGCCAGGAGTTATTCTATCGTGGGATGACTTATAGTTTTCATGTGCTGGTCTCAAAGGTGACAATGAGATGGCTAAAAAGGTAAGTCCTTCAGGGAATGGGGGATGGGCGACCTCCAAGTCTGGAATCAGCTCAAAGAAGGAACAGGAGAAAGGGTCAATCCCTTAGGGGCAGGGAGAGAAAGGAGACAGTGATCCAGGACAGGCCAAAGCCAGGATGCAAAGACAGCAGAGACCAGGGAAGAAGTGGGAGGTTCTGAAGGACACATCCTCCCTGGAGCTAAGAGAAGACTTTAAGGAAGGCAGGGTGGTGTGGGGCATCTGCTTGGCACCGAGGCTAAGCAAAGGAGAACTAAGAGAGGGCCGCTGGTGTTGGGTCTCAGAGGCTTCTTAGGAAGTGTCAATCAAGAAAGAGAGAGTTAGGGTGAGTTAAGGAGGAATCAGGCAACAACAGGACCAAGCTACTCCATGAAGCCAAAAGAAGTGAGAGGGGTTGGTGGCTGGTAGGAAAGGCCACCAGGCAAGACAGGCATGAAAGAATATGAGAGGATTCCAGAATCCTTCATGTTTAAGGCTGGAGATGGCTCCTACCACATGAGGCAACATATCCTCAGAGCTCACCATGCAGAGGTGAATGGATGGGCTCATGTAAAGGTTGCGGAGGAACCAGAGGGGCACATTGTAGCAAACCGAAGCAAAGGCTTTGGAGACCGTGGGAGTGGGCTCTGCATTCCACCTCTGCCACTATCTGTGCAGCCTTCTCTGTGTCTGTCCCTCATATGTTCAGTGGGGCTAGTAATAGGAGGTACTTCAAAGGCTGGTCCATAAATAAGAACTGAGTAATAGGGATGCCGGGGTGAGCACTGGGGGGTCATTGAGCACCTGTGGCTGGAGGACCGAGAGGGGGTACCTGAGCTTTCCCGGCCCAGGAACGCCTGAGCAAAAATCTCGCCAACCCAGGCCTGCAGCTCCATGTCCTGTTGCACATACGCATCGCTGGGATAATAGTAGCCCACGATTTCTGAGACAAAGCTGTAGGAAAGAGATGCCCAGATCAAGGCTGTGACCTCAGGCTCAGGCTTGACCAGAAAACCAAGGCCCAGTGCCACTCAGGCTGGGGAGAGACAGACAGCCAGGGTCCACTGAGAGCCCACAGTGGTTCAATGAGAACGCCCAGATACAGTTGGAAGGCAAAAGCCCAGGCTTCCCTCAAGTTTTACCCCAGAGTCATGGGGGCTCTGAGCCTCCTTCCCATGCAGGGGGTTGGGGGTAGGGTACACCAAGGACGGTCTGTCTGACTCATGCTGCCACCCCTTCGCACTCAGCACAGCACCCAGGAGAAAGGAAGACCTGCCTGTCTGGAGGCTCCAGTCCACACCTAGCTGTTGGATCTGCCCTGACTCCTGTGGACACCCCGTCCTTCCCTTCCTCCACTGCATTCATGCACAGCCAGCCCCGTCCCAGCCCACAGCTACCTGCCATTTCATAGGGAAGCCCAGCCCCAACTCTCATTCTTCGGATGCTCCAAACGGCCTGAGAACACCGGAACCCCTAGCACCAAGTGCCCAGCTTACGTGAGCACGGGGCTCCACAATGCCCCTGTGTCAAGAGGCCCTGATGGGGCCAAATTAGCTGCCCAGTCCCAGGTACACACCTCTCAATGGCCGCCCAGATCTTCAGGCCGTCGTCTCGGTAATAGTAGTTGGGGATGGCCAGGACGCCGCGGGCCCGCAGGCTGTCCGGAAGGCAGAAATTGGTGTAGGTGAAGTGGGCCAGACCCGTGCTTATGAGGTAGAGAAGGCCTTGCCTCCCGATGGACGTGACCTGAGGACAGAGCACAGCTCGGCTTCTTCCGCGCCGGCCCAACCCCCACCCCATGGCTTGGGGGCATGGGGCTACTGACTGATCAGAGGGGATCAGTTGATCAAACACTCCAAGACCACGGATCAAATACCTATAAGGGTCTGATGCGCGCTGCGGAGATTCCGGCCCTACCACGTGCATAGGAAGTAACCCTTAGGTATTTGGTAACTAAGAGAACAACGAACTGACGGCGGGGAGGAGAAAGCTGGTTCGGCGCAGGGTCAAGCCGTGGAGGGGGCTCTGTGATCCAGCTGTTTGCCCTGCCCACCTCAAGGAGCCTTTGGAACCTGGGCCTGAGTGGGTGGGGCCTGTGGATGGGGTGGTGGGCAGGGCCAGGGGTTGGTGGGCGGGGCAAATATGAGACTGGAGGGCGGGGAGGGGCTTGTGGGGGAAGGCTGGCAGAGACCATAGAATAGTATTGGAGGCTGTATAGGGCTTGTAGGCGGGGCAAAGCGCACTTGGGAAGGAGCTTCAGAGGCGGGGCGGGAAGGCCGCACCTTGTCCACTAGGCCTTCAGGGTTGAGCAGCGTGGCCCGCGCGATGGTGTTCACCTGCAGCGTGTATCGAGTGTGGGGAAGCAGGAGCTGCAAGCGGGATGAGGTCACAGGAGCCGAAGGTTAGGGGAGAAGGCCGCCCTGACCCCGCCCCCTCTGTCCCCGCACGGGGGCCGCACAGACCTTATAGATAGGATGGCAGAGAGGCAACTGACGCAGCGTGGCCATGGCGAAGGCCTCGCACAGTAAATGCGTGCACAAAAAGTGCGTGTTGTTCTCGTGCACCAGGAACTCAGAGTTGCGCACCCACGTCTTGGCCAGCAGCCAGTCCCAGTCAGAGTCAGTGGGCAGAAAGATGGGGTTATCTTGCCCTGGGGTCTGGCTGAGCTGCGACCAAGGATAAGAAGGAAGTGAGGCTCAGGAGAGCCAGTGTGCCCCCTGAAGCCCCGCCCCCGAAGCCCCGCCCCAGGCCTCACCTGGATGGCCAAGGGCACCAGCGCCCCCTGGGGATTGAGCCACAACAGGCAGAGCGGGGCGGCCACGTACTGCTGGCGGCCGTTGAGGCAGTGGACCGGGGCCTCCGCCAGGATCCAGTAGTCCGCCATGAAGATGTTCCCCCTCTGCGGAAGGCGCACAGAGGCTCAGAGTGCCCTCCCCACCCGCGCTTCGCTTCCCTCTGTTCTCGGCCCACTTCCACCGCAGCTTGGGCCTCAAGAAATGCTTGGTGCCTGCCCTAATGGCGAACGCTGGGTTCCTCACCCTTCCCAGAATGTCCAGAATGAGGTCCTGCTGAATCCCTCTTGTGCAACCCCTCACCTGGCCTCCCAGCTTGGACCAGCGAGCGTCGTCTCGCCCTCCCCCTCTACCTGGTCCTTCCCACTCTCTCAGAAACCCTCAGTGTATCCAAACAGCAAAATCAACACACGGCGAAAATTCACCAAGCATATCTCCACCCTTCTGGAGGATGCCTGAGGGCTTGGCTGCCCCAGAGAGATTGGCTCAGTCATCGTCCACACCCTCAGAGCTGCTAGTTAACACGGTTGTTCTTGCTGGATCTGGTGGCACTGCCTTTGGCCTGTCCTATAACAACCTTTGTTGGGCCTCATCACCTGGGATCTTGGAGGCCCCAGAACACAAGTGGGGCCTCCTTCTCCAGGCTGTCCTGCCCATTCATACCACTTCACCAAGCCCCATCTCAGGCCTCAAGTCATCCGGAGCCCCATCTGGCCCTCATTAACACTGGTTCTACTTAAAAGGCACAGGACCAGGGCTGCCCAGAGGGTGAGGCCCACACGTTGGATGCAGCCCTGGCCATATCCCCTTACCTTCCACACCCATCCCTTTCCATATGGCAACTCACCCACCTCTAGCTCTGTCTGCAGGCAGGTTCCTGGTCCCAGTAAAGGGGCCACCATGTTATTGGTGACAGGCAGTTTGCTGGGCAAGCTGGAGAGGCAATGGAGCATGACAGGATTGACACCATTCAGGTACTGGTACCCAAAGAAGCAGTCCTCATACCAGTGCTCTGTGACATACTCTAGGAGGCAAGAGAGGGAGGCTGGTAGGACTGAAAACTACTTCTCTAGATCCTGCTTCTGCCCAGCCTTCTGCTCATCACTATGGCTTAGGTCAAAGAGATGGTGTGACTTGCTCAGTTGAGTGGCAGTGCAGGGATTTGAACCTAGGTCTGGATCTGAAGTTCACAACTTTTGGTGCTGTGGGTAGGGGAAAAGAGGAGAGTGCCCCTGATCAGGATCAGGACTCCCTAAATGACGTGACCCTCTGCCAGGCCAGCAGAGTACGTCTCTGTCCTCACTTCCCTATATTTTTCCCCCCACCCAGAGGAAGGGGAGATGCATGGGTTCCTGAGGGGAACCTATGAAATTGCCACCAGTGAAACCAGGAGCACTTGCTGAAGGAATCCAGAACAGTGGAAGAGGCCCTTTCCCAGGAGGGGGCAGAGGGGTTTGAGCACTGGGCAGGGTGGGAGACAGATGTCTCCTGCCTGGGTCTGCACACCTGAGGTGAAGGTCTTGTGGCACCAGAAGATGTTACGGATGTCATCCAGCTTCTTCCAAGAGCCTTTGCGGTCTAGCAGCCCTCGAAGCTTCATGCCCAAGGACCTGAAGGGGAAGGGTGAAGTTCAGGCCAGAGGCACTGTGCCCCCAGCCTAGAGGCCTTGGGGGACCTGTCAATGCCCAGAGCAGAGGTGCCTAACAATCCCCCTGGGAGAAAAGTCTAGTGGCCAGTTGAGGCTTTGTAGGGGTGACTCCACATGTGCATTTGGCGTATGTGGCCACATGGTGCAGACAAATCAGCTTCATTGGCCTGCTTTCTCCAAGCTTCCATCTTGTCGTAGACCTTCCCTGCCTGCAGGTCAAAGCCCCAACTGGTAAGGTTGGCCAGGAACCTCCATCCAGTTTCTACCATCCTTTCCAGCTTTTTCTCCTACCCTATGCACTAGATAAGGCCAACCATGGCCTTCTCACTAAATATAACCAGAGATGTACTTTGTACACTGACTGGCAAAAGTCCAGTTGGCAGCCTGGGCTGTGCACTTTTCACTTTGTGGATGTCTGGAGTGTTTGCATATTTTACAATGAGCATGTGTTATTTACAATCATAAAAAAACACTTGAAATGAAGTCTGCTTTCCCTACTTGTTCAATGTTTTAAGCTGTGCCTCTCCTAGAAAGTGATCTCCTACATCTCTAGTGTCAAGCCTATCTGTTCTTGTGTGTGCATCTTAGATGCAACATCCTTCATGAAGTATGGCCTGATGCCCCCCAAACACATACCTCATGTGCCTTTCACAAAAAGCTCATCACTGCCTGCATTACACTGTAAACTCAATGTACTCATATCATCCCCCATTGTACTGTGGGCTCCTCAGGGCCAGGACTGGGCTCTGTACCCCCAACATATCCAGTTCATAATAATCACTCACTAACTGGGTCAGATCAAAAGCAAGGGAATGAAACATAAACATCTAAGTGTGTGGCAACTGCTCAGTCAAGCAGGCTGTGTAAGGAAGCTGATGTGCCATGAAGAGTGTGGCCCTTGGGGTAGGGAACATTAATGACCTCGCAAGCCCAGGGACACCTTCCTATGTGTCCACTAAGCTGCTCCCTCCTCACTCCACAGCATTTGCTGAGCTCCTGCCCAATAAGGACCTGGGGATGGGAAACGGGCAGAAGAGCGGTGGTTAAAGCAGAGGCTGAGGAGGCAATAAAGGAGAAAGGACAAGTCTTCCCTTTCCAAGGGCCTGCCACAAAAGCCCTTCAGAGCACCCTGTAGTTGCCCTACACTAAAGCCCAACTACTGCCCCTGGATGGCTGCGAAATGCCAGCTCCCTCTTCCCACTGGCTTTTCTTTGAGCCCCATGCAGGCAGTCCTGGTGGTCCCCCAGGCCCTCACTTTCCTAGACCTGCATATCCATCTGGGGACCAATTCAGGTGACTGCCTTCTGAGATGTTCTCTGGTCCCTTAGCCCTGACAGAGCCTCAGCTGTTGAGCTAAGCTGCTGATGACCCCTCTGATTGCTAACTGCTCCAACTGCTAAGACAGTCATGCCCGGTCTCCCCCATGGCACTGTGAGTTCCTCACGGCTGAAGACTCTATCCTAATACTTAACAAAAGATGTACTCAGTGACATCTTTTGGGAGAGTATTTTGTGCTGTGTGTTATCTCATTTAATTCTCCCCCAAGCCCATGGGGTACGTACAACTATTACTGTTATTCTACAAAGAAGGAAACTGTTTAGAGAGAAAGAGGAAACCAAAGAAGTATTAGTTCTGGAATTTGAACCTGAGGTGGTCTGACCCCACTTCCTTAAAGCTTACGGGCTAGACCTCTATGTCCTACTCCACATGATCCCATGGTCCCACGGTCTGCACAGAGTAGGTGCTCAATTAACTGTATTGGTTTGAAGAATAAAAAGAGAAGGGATGACAAAGGAGCAAAGAGGAGGAAATGGGGAGATAGAGAATGGAGTTCCCTAAGGAGAGAAAGGGGGAACCTGAGGGCAGAGAGGAGGAGATGGGGGGCAGGAAAGGGGGACTTCAGGACAGAGGTGTGCATGTGCATCCAAGAAGCAGAGGCCAAGGCACAGGAGTGCAGGGAATGGCAGTGTCCTCACGCAGGGATGGCATTGAAGAGCAGCGAGGTCGTCTTTGTGGCTGAGTAGCGAATATTGGGTTCCATGTGCAGCAGGGATGGGATGTCAATTTTCATGGGGAAGCCAGGCAGGTACTGGTTCCCACCACTGGGAAGGAGGGAGCAGAAGGATGGAAACCAGTCAGAGGGACCTGCAGCCCACTCCCCTAAATCCTTGCCCTCTCTCCAGGCCCCAGGCCTCCTCTAGCTCTGGGTCCCCTCCCAAACCCCGACTGCTGTGGGCTTAGGCCTGAAACCACGTCCTCCTCTCTCCCAGACTCCTGGGGCCATCCCCACCCAGTCTGTTCCTGCCACTTGAATTAAACTTCACATGTTATAGATCCCACTCCTCCTTCCAGGCTGCTTGGGCCCCATCCTCCAAGCAAACTTCTCTTCAGGCCCTTCACCTTCTTCCCAAGCCTGAGGGTTCCCTCACCTGTCTCCCTGGTCTGCACAAGGTGTCCTCTTGGTCAAGGCAAATTTCTTGTCTGACTCCATCTCCTCAAAGCTGCTGACATCCACAATGCCAGGAAGGCCAGGGGCATAGACTTTCCAGCTTCCAGGCAAAAGAAATCAGAAGCAGTGAGCCAAACTTAGGGTAAACATAAACCTTAACTTTTAAAGACATGACTTTAAATTAAAACTCCCATAAGTCACCCACTTTCTGGGTACATTATGAAGATTTGGAAATTTCTCCTTGAAGGCTTCAGATCGGGATAGAATTTAAGGATGACATGAATGTCCAGGCTGGTTTAGAGCTGGGTTTGTGTTAAGACTAAGATCATGGCCAGTTTGGGGGTGAGGCTGAGAATGGGCTGAGATTGGTCAGGACTGGGGGCCCATCTGCTACCTGGTCACATCAAAGGCAGCCGGAGGTTGGGTGTGGATTCATTGATGGTATCAGGACAATTGTTAGTACTGGTGTTCTGCGTCTGGACTCAGAGTCAATATCAGATTGAAATTAGGGTTAAATGAAGGTCTTGATCAGAGTTGGGTCCCCACGGTTGGAACTGAGGTCAGAGTTAGTAACAGTCTGGTTAAGGATGAGGTCAGAATAAAGATGAGGAAAGAAGTTAAATTAGGCCACCCTTACCGGTAGCATTCCTGTCGGGCCTGGAGTTCCCGATTCCTATGATCCAGAAGGAGGGGAAGGGAGTCCTGACAAATAGTTCTTGCTATGGAGAAATGAAAATTACTCATCGTACAAGTCTTTTTTCAAACAACACCTCCTCCATCAAAGTTTGCCTGAATCTCCTAATCCTTGAACCCAGTCCCTCAGGGGCATGGATTCCGCATGTTCTTTGTACGTTCCTCAGCAGAAGGGATTCAGACCAACCTCATCCCAAACTTAAAACAATCTTCTTAAATGTTTGCATGTTTGTCTCCTTTCTAAAACTAAACTATTTGGGGACAGGAGTCACATTATATTCACTTTATGTAACCCCAGCATCTAGCATGGTGCTCGGGCACAAAACATGCCCTCAACAAATGACGATAGTGAGTATATTTTGTGAAGTGATAAATGGACATGCTATGATGAAAGAGGAGGGTTTAGAGGTCTATGAAGAACTTGCCACAGGCTGAAGGGTAATTCACTCTGCTCACCTTAACCTGGAGCATCAGCTCTCATCCCTAAGACTCAACATTCAGAGCAGCCTTAGCCTTGCCTCTTTGATCAGACAGCTCAGGAGATATGGGGCTCCAGAGGCTGAAGGAGCTTGAGCCCAGCATCCTTGAAAGACCCCCAAATTCAAGAAGGATTCCTAATAGCATCTCACAGGAACTTCATCCATGACAGAAAAGCCAGTGGTGGTCAAAAGGCCCTTTCCAGTCAAAGTCTCTCAATATTCAGGGCTTCTCCACCTGTTGAAATCTAATTACTCAGTTTGCAAGTTAATTCCTCTCCAGGCTCCAGAGGAATTCACTCTGGGGAAGTGCAGAGACCTTCAGTGGAAAGCAAACCATATCTGTGTGTGTTTGTGTCTATGAATGGTGTGAGTATTTGTGAATGTGTGTGTCTCATCTCTGTGTGTCCAGGGGATAAATACTGCCCAGAAAGGCAGAGGCTTTCAGAGCTTCCAGAGGCTCACCTTTTTCAGGAAGTATCTACTTGGGATCTCTGAGTTCCAGTTAATCTAACCTCAACTATATTCTGTACACCCTGTGCTCTGCGAGGCCCCATCCCTAATCCCAACAGATGCCTTCTGCAGCACAGGCCAGCCACTGCCTCTGGCCCACCTGTTCCAGGTCGCAGCTCTATGGTGCAGAAGCCCTCAATCCACTGATAGCAGGGGAAGTGGGAAAGGGTACCATCAGGGGCAGTGACACAGATGCGACTGCAGTACCAGGAGTCCTTGGGGAAGAAAGCATAGCGCTCCTTGTGTAGACGCAGCAGCAGGAGCTCACCCAACTCCGCTGAGCAGCGTACCTTGTACTTCTGCACCTGAGGAGACCAAGACAGTGAGCAGGTAAGAGGCAAGGAACTGCTAGAGCCATCCTTGCACCTTGCAAGGTGCATCTACACCCATGCCGATTCTGACATATAAACCTGAGTTGCCACTAACCCATGTGGTGCTTTTGTATGAATTAGAAAAAGCAGCCAAGCAGGAGTAGCCACAGCTTCCACAGGCACTGTGTGTGAGCGGAGTGGCTTCTGGATTTCACCAGTCTCCCTGGCTGCCCACACCCATGTGGGCAGACAATACTGGGGCCTTGTAGAGGCAGGCAGAGAAGAGGAAACCCAAGCTCAGAGAGAGCAGGCAACTTGCCCAAAGCCCACCTTCAATTATGGGAGAAGATAGGAAGCCAGAGGAATTCTCCTGACTTCCTGCTCAGGGTTCCTTCTTCCCAGCCCTGCCTAGGTAGGGCTTATCATCCCTAGTAAAGACAGGGACCAGAATAGGAAGGAGGTGGGTGGGCACCCAGAGTTCTGCAGAATGTGATGAGTCCCGGAGGAATTACCCTCCCCTCCTCCAGGGTCCCCTCCCCGCCGGCCCTTCCAGGGCTTGCTCTTCCCTCTCTCCTCTGTACTCACCGATCCAGTGGCGAAGTCCCTGCCCACTCGATCCAGCAGCTGCTTCGGGCTTTCACCACACGTGCCCACCAGTGTGACCAAGATGTTGTCCAATGTGCCGGCCATCAGGTAGGGACCAGTGGTCACACACACGCGGTACACGGCCATGATGGGAGGGAAGAGGGGATGCCCTCCCCACCCCCAGCGACGTTGGCCACAGCAGCAGCTCCCCTGGAGGAGGTGAGAGGCAGGCCAGGCAGGGCTGGGCTGCTGAGCCCCTGGATGGGGGTTGGCAGCGCAGGGTTAGCTTCTGAAGAAGGGCCAGATCTCTCAGGGATGCTCCTGGGCTCTCTCTCTCTCTCTGTCTCTCTTCCCGGAACTCACTGCCGCTGTTCATTGAGGGCTCCCTCTCCCCGCCCACAGCCTTGAGCCCTAATAGTTGTTTGCTTGTCTCTGGCACAGCCGCTCCCTCTGGCTGACTGGACAGGGCTCACCCAGCTATCAGGAGCCTGGGTCGCACGGAATGGGAGGGGCCAGATGCTCCAGAAAAGAAGTTGGTGACGCCTGTATGATTGGGACATTGCCCTCCTCTTGGTCATGGGCCGCCTGATGCCCTGGGGTCCTTGTCCACCCACTCCCCAATTTCCTCTCAAGACCGTTTCCTCCTCTCTCTCTCAGCCAGAACCCGGCACAGGGCACCTGCATTTCTACTTGTGCATCACCCATGTGAATCACTATACACAAGGAGCCACACTCGACTATAATTCACACGTGACACAGCCACACGCCGGTGAGTTGCACACGCATCCCTGTACACTGCATGGGGGTCAGAAACAACTCTCCTGCCACCTCCCACCCCTCATCCCCGACACTCTGCACTACCATCCCCACGCCCGGCTCCCAGTGTTCCCGGTCTTA